TATTTTCTTAAAATGTATTCTGGCACAGGAGAAGGTTGTTTGCTGCACAGAGGCAGCTAACCTCTACACAACTGGGCTCGGACATCTGCCCAGCAAACTGCAGCCTATAAGTTCAATATGCAGCCTCCGGTTTTTCTAACCCAACGAGGTTTCGGCCAGTCTGAGTCAGACTCCTCCTCCTCTTTTCTAGCGGGAGTTCAGTTGTTGTTTTATTTTATTCTTAGAAACCTTAATCCTTTAATGATTACCAAAGGTGAACATTCGGCAATTTTAGATTAATATTTATGAACATATTTTAAATGTACTTTTACTCTTAAGATATATCTAGACCTTTTGTGATAAAACTAAGAACAGGTATCGGTCTGATTCAGCATTGGAGGGGTTAAAAGAATAAACCAGGGCAGAGAAAGACTGTGCTTACAGTTACTTTTTGTAACCTTGAAGTTCATTGATAAGACCTGTTAGGTTTGCAGCCAGCAGCATAACTGCCAACCCCCCCACTTCTCTCAGCCCAGGCTGCTTTTCCTCACAGATTTTTTTTTTTTTTCTTTTACTCTTTTATAAGCAATCTCAGAACTAAGCAATCTTGGAATTACAGTGATTTACAACCCAGGTAAGAGCAAAGAGCAACTGATAGACAGAAATTTATATTAACTAAGTGGGCTGATTCCTTCTGTAGTGGCGAGCAAAAGACTCTGAGAACTGCTAGAGATTCTTGCAGCCCACCGCGGGTCCAGTCCAAATGTTCAGCCAGATGAATTAACAGAAATGCAAAATAAATCAAAGTAATTTTCACTTTACACAGACTAGTAATGAGCAGCCAAAATAGATAAACACTCGTATTCACGCTCTCAGTAGACTAGCCCAGACTGAAGCTGAGCAGATAAACAAAACAATGCCCAACTCCCCAGACGGGCGTGGGGGCACTCCTGGCACCCATGTTCCAGAACAGAATTCTTGACCAACGTTTTGGTGAGAACCTACCGGAGGAGTTAAGACTGCATCCAGTCCCCCCTTTTGGTAGCAAATTGGCTAGTTCCACACAAACAAACAGCTGTTCACTCATGCTTCCTCAGTGTTTTAGCATTCACTTTAATTTTACAATCTCTATTGTATTCCTTTAAAAAATTTTTCAACATGTAATTAAGAACAGCAGGTTTACTTTGTCCCAACCTCATGATGATCGGTGACGAGAGACAGACAAGGGAGGGGTGACCTGTTTTCACAGATTTCCACTCAGGTACCCGCCTGACCAAAGTTGTGGAGCCACACAAAGGAGAGGAGAGGGCAGGCCCCCTCCCTCCACACTCGCACACTTTCACCAGACATTCATTCAGCAAAGGCATCTAGCCACCACAACACACAGTTTTTTCTCAATCAGTAACATTTTTAAGAATAACCTTCAAAAATGCAAGACATAAGTTTTTTATCATTTGAATTCAGTAAGCTTCAAGGTCCCAAGTTCTCAGCAGTCCTGGAAAACCACACCTGAGGCTGACAAGCAGGTTTGACCCAGCCCTTGACTTTAAAACGACCATAATGCTTAAAGGAGTAGTTTGAGTCTGTCCCATAGCGTCCGTCCAGTGAGTCCACAAAATCAAACAAAAGAACACAGACACCAAACAAACAAACAAAGACACCTAAGAACAGCCTTCCGACCCCGCGGAAGAAAAACTGAGTCTGTCCCATAGTCAGTTCGTATGCCACCAAAAACACAAATAACACAGAAGTTGCAGACAGGAGGACCCACTTCCCCCTCCTCGTCTGCCACAAACACGTAGCGGAATCAGACGGGCGTGATCCTGACAATCTCTGATCCAACAGCTGAAGCCGATCAGCGCCCTTACTAAAGGAGACCACCAGGCGTCCCCGGCATCTCCACCACCCTTGGGGCGTCCCCCAAGGCTGCAACCTGTGGTCCTCCAGGCACGTCTACCGACCACTGTTCGGCCACTCTCACGAGTTGCCGAACGGCTGCCAAACCGAAAGCGCGCACCCAAATCCAGACCGCTTGACAAACACAAGACAAAGACAAACAACTCGGGGCCCTCCTTACCTCCAAGGTCGGCTCCGCGGATGAGGGGTGGTCGTCTGATCCCGGACGAGCCCCCAAATGTGAGAACCCCGGAGAGGGAACCCACTCCGTCCCACCGACCGACGGCGACCCCAATCAACCGCAGGAGACGTCCCTTGATGCAAACTGCAAGAGGTTTTATTCCAGAGCGCGCTGGGGCTCAGCTCATACTCACGCAGGAGCAGAGGAGATGGGCGCCCAGTCAGGGGTTTTTCATCTTTTTATATGCAAAAATCACACATCAGGGAGGGGTGGCATGCAGGAGGGTAAGAGGAGAACAAAGGAATTCCAAAGGGGTCTGGTTTGTGTCTTGATAGGGATAAGGCACTCCCGCTTGGTGTTTTTACAACCTGTTTATCTCAATGGTTGATTGAAGCCTGCCCTTTGTTGGGGCTATCTCCTGGAACCCCCTCAGGGAGGGCGTCTTTCCCTCTGCTCCTATCTCTAGTGGGGGGGGAGCCTGGGGAGTTGAGCTAAAACAGGCAATTAGGCCTGGCAGCTGGGCCTGTGCATTTTGTAACATTCTTTTATTCTTTCACTGCAGACAGCAAAGGTGTTCAAACAGGCCTTCGGCTTCCATATCCCATACGATGCAGTGTACTGCTAATTTGCCTACAAATGTCAGGTGGTCAAAGTAATCTGGCCACTCAGTGTAGTGCATTGGCAAAAGAGTGTCTCTCTGGACATAGATACATTTTAAAAATCTTTCCAATGGGCCAATTTCTATGAAAGTTTTGTCTTTCTTGTAGAAAAAAATCAAGAATATAGTGTCCTGCAAACCAAGTGAAAAATGTGCATCAGGGAGGAAGAAGTGCTCAACTATGCCCAATGTTAAGGCTGATAGATCGATGTGCTAATGTCAAGGCTGATAGCTCGAAAAGAACGAGGAAGGAAGACTGAACACTGGCTTTGGCAATATACAGGTCTGTGAGCACCTTGACCAGAGCAGTTTCAATCTTATAATGGGGGCAAAATGGACTGGGTGTGACAATGGGATGAGAGGAACTGCAGAAAGTATTTGGTGAAGTGTTGCTGCAAAATAAGAGCTTTGAAGATTATTTTTACTCCTGTGAAGGTTTTGATTGCCTGTCCCTGAATATATTTCCTTCCTGTAACTACTCTAGTGAGCCCTAACTTATTACCATTGATGGCAACTATTGGTGTAACAGAATGAGTTAAAAAAAAAATCTACCTTTTTTCAGTTAGTCAATAGTATAACAAGGATCTTAATTACAGCTATTAGTTTTGAAGTCGTGACAGCTAATATATTTATTGATTTGAATTGCTCAGAATCCCTGAATTTTCCTTTTCACTCATTCTAGGAAATTACCAGAAGACAGCTATCTAACTTCCAATATATATGTGTATATGTATATAATTTATATGTGTATATAAATATGTATTGTATACATATATTGCATATAAAGTTTTTTCATTACTAAAATTAAAAGAATACCTATATAATGCAGCAACAAGAAAAAAATATACTTAATAAATACTTTGAGGTCTAATGAATAAATATGATATAAATTCAAGGCTACTATCTATTTACATTTTTATCTATTACATTTAATTTTACTTATTAATACTTACTGGGAAATCTCATTTTACTTTGTTAAAGTCAAAATAAGCAATTTTTAAGCTATCATCTGCTAGAAGGTCTAAATTCGAGGATAAATGAATTTACTTAGGCTTTATTAAGAGCCTTGGATTTTAAAAGCCTTACAGTTTATATCTAATAAGTATCAAACCCCCCACTATTTGTAGATAGAGTGCAGACTTCAAAGTAGTATCATATTGGCTATTTGCTGACATTACTGAAAATAGCTTAAGTACAAGAAAAAATGAAGAGCAGTGGTAATGGAGGGAAGTGGTGAACAGCATTTAGCTCAGTTCTTACCTCCTTCTTCAGTATGCTGGTTTTAGTACTAGAAACTGTTTTTAGTGTTCCTTTGCATTTTCGTGTGGAGGGGAGGAATGTATCTTCATTCCTTATAGGACCAAGAAGTTGGCATGAGGGGAAAGGTAAGGGCCATTTTGCTCTATTTCAGAAACACTCTCCAGTTCCCCTGAGAAGGACTTCCGACTTCTCTGCTCTGCACATACATTTCCACTTCATTCAGCGCCTGTCCTGCAGTCAGGACTGTAGCTTCAAGCAGCTGGCAGATCATTATTACTTCTGTGAGGGTCATGAATAAGGTAAACTTATATCCAGTCTATTATCCAGATTGAAAAAATACACAATGCTTCAAGCTCCTGGCCCTGTACGAGGAGCACAATAAGATTCCACACCGAGTTCATCTCTCCTCCTGTATACTGACCAGGTCACACTTCTGAGTGTGGCCTTTGCTGTGTGAACCCGTAGGTGCATATTTAGGAATACTGACTTTCACATTATTTAGTATAGGGCTAAGCATAATGCCAGTGCTGTTACATAAGAAAAAAACAATAGAATAGTATTCCTCCATGATTCCTACTTCTTTACCACTAATCACCATTTCTAAAGGTATTACATAGTACATCTATTTTGAATATTTCATATATATAATAAGGCATATTGTCTACAATGGCGATAACATATTCATTTTCATATTTAAATTTTAACAAACTAAATGCTCCCCCATGTTAACAGAGAAAAGTTATGGGAAGTGAATTTGGTATAATTGGGTAACTATTATGGTGTTGGTGATCATTTTGTGGTTTTGATGATGTCCTAAAACAGGTGGCAGTATTGAGTCAGATAATATCTCTATGGATTCCTTTTATTACTGCCCATGATGCAATGGAGATTTGTTGAATAATATTCATAAGTGCATGAAGTTCTTTTAATCCAGAAAGAACAAATGGTGTTACTATACTAATTTCAGCCTATTAGTCTCATCTAACCCAGAGTAAACATTTCAAGTTAATCAGACGACAGCAAACATTATGTTCAGTAACCAATGTTTATTTAGTACTTGCTGTGTAACAGGTATGGTATGTGTATTTTATCTCATTTACTCTTCCAAGTAATCTTGTTAGGACAGTCCATTAGGAGATAATAAGGTTCAGAAGCTAAGTAGCGATTCCAGTACCACAGTGATAATAAGAGGTGGATTCGGAATTCAAACCTGGGCGTCTATCTTCCAATTCCATACTGTTGACCACCAAGCTCTGTGACCATGCTGGGTAGTAAAAGGATGAACTAATGGTTGAAGTACCCCACACTGTGAAAAGAGAAATGGATGGATAAATACAGAAATGATATCAATATGGTACTGTGGGAACTGTAGGCAATGGATGTACAAAATGACATGTGAACAGAGAGGCAGGAGGCAGCAGTTGTGTCTGGGTAAATCAGGTTCCCAGAAGTGAAATCTCAGGCACAAAGGAAAACAGAGGAATTTGAGGCTAAGGGCACAGTAAGTAAAGAGTCACCAGAGGAAAAGACATGAGCACATATGGAATCCTGCAAAGTTTGGTATTGGGGTAGAGGTGCTTGTGGCAGGAGCACAAGAACTAAACATGGCGATGCTCTGAATTTTAAAACAGTCTGTACTGAGTAAGTGAATATTAAAACAGTCTGTAAGGATCAGGGAGCATAAGTTAGAGGTCAAGTGACTAAGACAGGACTTATGACTTCCTAAGTTTTAAGCTAGGTCTATTTCTCTAGTTATTTTAATTACTTTGTCAGCATCCTTCAGAACACATTCTTTCTGTAGATATTTTGTTTCAGGTCAACAACTCTGGGTGCATTTTAGCTAATGCCTCATTATTATGCTAACTGTATTTTCTTTGTTGAAACTCTGTATTACAGTTTGTTACTATATATGGTAGGGTATGATTTGGCCTTGCCGAACTCTGGGCCATTACCAGTGGCTTCTGATTGAAAAGGGTTATTTTGAGGTTATATACTGACACCACAAAGGATTGAATTATTTATGACTTTAATATTCACCAGTGTTTCTAGCTCAGGATCCAATATACCACTGAATATTATCTGTCAACAAAACACTGCATCTGTTCCATTTGTTGATGACCGATAAAACAAAGCAGTTTAAATTGCTGCTTTGAACTCAATAGGGGTTGAATTTCTGCCCCGAGTATCTCAATAATAATAATACTAATAATATTTGTAATAAATATTTAAAATACTTAAATAATATTTGTCCTGATATTAATTAGCACCACTTATAATGGATGCATGAAATTAACATATACATCAATATTTATACTATACTACATTTATTAATTGTATTTTTGCATAATAGAGACTGATTTAGGGAAATAGGTTTCTTCTTCAAATACTAACTACAAGCCCCAGCTGCCTTTCTGTAAAAAATCAGGGTCTGATATAAAACGTATTTTTAAAAAGTTATGAGTGAACAACACCTCTATCTCATTTGACCACTTTTTCTCTTATCCTTACCTTCAACAAAGATTAAGAAAAATGAATATTAGTTATTATGAGAGAAAAGGTAAAATAAATTTAAAATTCTTTTTTTAGAAGGCATTCGAAAATAAATATACTGATGAATTTACAGAATTAAACCAAATTGATGGAAAAACAATTTAGAGTTCAATTTTAATCATTTTAAAAATATTTTTTTCAAAACTATCAACATCATAACCATCAACCCTAAAATGGGTTTTAATGACCTCACAATAATGCAGCACAGGGCATTTCTGGGACTAGTGCTAGGAAATGAAACATCTTACAGTATTAATTATTTTTCCCAAAAAACAGTGTTACATCTGGGAGTTGTTTTATTGACCAACAATTCAACATAAAATAAATCATAGATATATTCAATACCATATAAAATAAATGCTGAGTCATAGCGCAGAATAAAGGAAATGATGCAAATCAGGTGCCTAGCACAGTGCCTGGCACATACATGTAGGCAATCTGTATATGTTAGTTTCTCATATTCCAGGTTTTGGTTACTTTGGCTGCCTTACATTATCACCCCATAATCTTATGGCTTAAAATAATAATAATCCGTTATGTTCTCTCATGGTTCCTGTGGGTGAGAAACCAGAAATCAGACAGGGCACTGCCGGCTCAACTGTTTTCTGTTCCACAATGTCTGAAGAAGAGACAAAGACTGAAGGCTGAATCATCCGAAGGCTCATTCACTCACATGTCTTCTGGTCATTATCGTTTGGGTACCTAACTAAGGCTTGTTGGCTGGAACACATGGCCTCTCTGTGTGGCCTGAGGTCCCTCAAAATATGGTGGTTAAGGTCTAAGGGCCAGCATAAGATAGATACAGAAAGCTAGCGCGAGCGCACTAGAGCTGCCACACACTACATCGAAGCTGTTTTGCCTTTTATGATCCCTAGCCTCAGATATCAAGAAGCCTTACTTCTGCCACATTTAAATGGCCAGATAGTTACAGAAATCCAAAGGGAGGAAATAGCAGCCTCACCTGTCAGTACAAGTGTGTCGCACTGTAAGAAGAGCATGTGGGATGTGGCATATATTGGTGCAGCCATCTTTGAAAATACAATTTTCCAACCTACCAATAATTTGAAATAATAAAATTACAATTAAAATTATAGATACTAGGAGGGTCCAGGTGACTTTTATAATGCAATTATTTGGAAATCCAATCCTCTGAAGAAAAAACAGAGTCCCAGAAAAGTAAATAATCATTCAACTAGCTATTTTAGTGTCAGGAGTTGAACCCATGTTTGCTGAATCTTAATTCTATAGTAATTTACCATATAAATATTCCATAAAATGTGTCTGAATTTGTTCACTGATTAGAAAAAGGGCTTAGCCCTAGCCAGTTTGGCTCAGTGGATAGAGCGTCAGCCTGCAGACTGAAGGATCCCAGGTTTGATTCCGGTCAAGGGCACGTACCTCAGTTGCATGGTCGATCCCTGGCCCTGGTTGAGGTGCGTGAGAGAGGCAACCAATCGATGTGTCTCTCTCATGTTGATGTTTCTCTCTCTGTCTCTCCCCCTCCCTTCCACTCTCTCAAAAATCAATGAAGCCCTAGCCAGTTTGGCTCAGTGAATTGAGCGTCGGGACTGTGGACGAAGGGTCCTGGGTTCAATTCCCAGTCAGGGCATATGCCCAGGCTGCGGGCTTGATCCCCAGTAGGGGGCGTGTGGGAGGCAGCCAATCAATGATTCTCTCTCATCATTGATGTTTCTATCTCTCTCTCCTCTCCCTTCCTCTCTGAAAGCAATAAAAATACATTTTAAAAATAACAATGGAAAAAATATCCTCAGGTGAGGATTAACAGAAAAAATAATAGAAAAAGAGCTTAAAGTATTTAAAACTATCCTTGTTAAAAATTTTATGAAAAATATGAATTATTGAAACTAATATTGGGAGAGGATACTTCCCAGCTGTGGTTAAAATGTGTAGGCATGACTGGGGCTGGCTCATGACCTCCCTGACATTGGCTTGCACGAGCTAGACGTATGGGGCAGTTTTCAGCAAGATGAAAGAGTGGAGAGGACAGTGCCATGTCTGTTCCTCAACTCTGTTTCATGCAGTTTCTTTTTTGAGCTTTAGGAAATCTGAGAGCTGAAGCAAAAGCTGTTTCAAAAGGAATCTGTGAGTCCAATTGGTGTGGCTCAGTGGTTGAGCATTGACCTTGGAACCACAGTTCTATTCCAGTCAGGGCACATGACCAGTAGGGGGCACGCAGGAGGCAACTGATAGATGTTTCTCTCTCATGGATGTTTCTCCTTCTCTTTCCCTAAAAAATAAATAAAAACATATTTGTTTAAAAAAAAAAAAGAATCTGTGAGACCCACAGAGTAAGCAGAGATCCTTTGGGTCCCAGGTGACCCAGTACATCCAGGATTTGGAAAGGGGCAATCCCCATTTTATGCACAGGACACAATTGCTGCTTGATATACTGAGGTACTGCAGGTTTGGAGGCAGCAATAAACAATCTCCTAGACATAGAAATAGCATTTTTAGAGAGGTCATGGGGAAATTATAATATCCAAGTACTTTCCTAGCGGGTTGTGAGTCAGTGGACAGAAATAAGAGGCCATACAGAAGACAGTGGAGGGCTATTGCTGCTCATGTGTCACACAGCTCCTGAGAAATCCTTGCAACACTAGGATTAATTATTGTGGGATGGGGCAGGAGGGGTACTCAAATAATGCTTAAGTCCTATACTTATGTTGTGAAGTGACAGTAAAATTGGCACATAAATACTAATGTAACCTCATTTGAACCCACAGGCAGATAAGCTCTGTGAAAATTTGGATCACATGAATTATGTATAATTAACATTTAATTAGCAATGATTTTACTTCTTAAAACTTTGAAGGGTATTTGGAGGAATGATTTAGATATCCTATGTCTAAAACTGAACTCCTATCTTCCCTTCATCCTGAGTCATGCAAGCAGCATTATAAAATTACTCTATTAATCACCTTAAAAAACATTACTGAAGTATCTAACTACCTGAAAACATCATTAGAGGGTTTTTGTTGTTGAAATTTAGAGATCCATAGCCTCTTCAATCTGCTGTCCTGTTTATATTTATTTATTGCTCTTCCCAGAATCCTAACCTCTCTTTCCTCACTTCCAAGATTTCTTATTCCATCCCAAATGGCAGCTTTAGCTTATAAAAATCACAGACATACAGCTGCAATGGTGTGTGCAGGTGGAGTGGGGTTGAGTAGGTAGTGGAGGATGGAAACTTCTTATCAGAAATGTAGGCTCAAACCCTGGCACTGGCATTGACCAACTATGCAAATTTGGGTCTGAGTTTCTGCATCTGCAAAATAGGGATTACACACACACTATCCCTAATAGGTTGTTGTTAAGATTAGGTGCAACCACTGTGGAAAACAGTATGGAGTTTCCTAAAAAAATTAAAAATGGAACTCCCATTTGACTCAGTGATCCCACTTCTAAGACAATATCCTAAGAAATCAAAAAGAATATATGTACCTCTATCTTCTTGCAGCACAATTTACAATTGCTAAGATTTGGAAATAGCCCAAGTGGATTTAAAAAACTGTGGTACATTTACACAAGAAAATTCTATGCAGCTGTAAAAAAGAAAGAACTTGTATCATTTGTAACAACATGGATGGACCTGAAGAGTATTATGCTAAGCAAAATAAGCCAGTTGGAGAAAGGTAAGTATCACAGGATCTCACTCATATGTGGAATCTACTGAACAAAATAAACTAAAGAACAAAATAGATCCAGAGACATAGAAGCATGGAACAGACTGTCCAATTTCAGAGGGAAGGAGGGTGGGAAGAGATTAACCAAAGAACTTGTATGCATATATGCATAACCATGGACACAGACAATAAGGTGGTGAAGGCCTGGGGTGGGGGTGGGGCAGGCTAGAAGTTAATGGAAGGATGGGGGAGGAGGAAGAGGGGCATATGTAATACTTTCAAACAATAAAGATTTTTTTAAAAAAAGATTAAATGAGCTAATACATAGAAAGGTACAAGGTACATCTAAGAACTCCCATTACCTAGGTCAGTTATGAGCCAAGATTTTCAAAAAAATAGCACAAACTAAATAAAGCCGATCCTCCCACAACCTCTCTTCATCCCTGCTCACAGGATCCTCTTCTGCTTGAGCTGACCTATGTCTGAAGATCTTTCTCCAGAAGTACAGCACAGATGTTAATTGAATAGTTTTGAAGAAGCAGGGGGGTAAAAAATCCAAAGCTTTGAAAAGCAACAACCAACCTTTTATTTATTATTGAGACATTTAGGCATAAAAGTGAATGCAAACCAGTTTTATCTCCCCTGGGCTTAAAAAATCCCACTTCTAAGTCCTTTATAGCAGAAATTTTCAGAGGTAACTTCTGGCTAGTAATTTAGTGCTCTCACTATTTTTAGCCCTGGGAAGCCAGTGAAGAGATCTGGGCTGTGAGAGCAAACTCTCAAAGTCCAGCTCAACTTCTTTGGCTGCTAACATTATCAGGTGAGGATTAACAATCAATCAATCAATCATTCAATCAATAAATAGAATAAATAGACAATAGTACCATTCAAGAACATATAAAATATATAGCACAAATCAAGTTAGTTAAAAATTAGTCATTTTATAGAAGTAAACAATTGCATTTGAGCTGGGAGGGAAATTTCCATATTTTCTGGAGTGTTGGCTCAGGTTTAAGTGATTTTGGCCTTGCCTTTTCTGGGTAAAGAAGTAGCATCATCATTTTCTTACAATGTACAAACTACACATGGGAATTGAACCAGCAACGTTTTGGTGATGGGACGACCCCCAATCAACTAAGCCGCACTGGCCACGATGACCCTTTTCACTTTAAAAGCAACTTATCTCTATAGAATTCAGAGCTCAGACAATTTGTGTATCTGTTCATGTTTTCTAAAACCTGTCTTCTCATCCTGAAGTTCTCTCATTCTTGAAGGTACACCTACTGGTGCTATTAAATGTTTAATAACTGGCACTCCAGAAAAACAACAACAACAAAATAAACAAACCCATTATCACTTCCTGTGGTATAAATACACCATGGATAATTTCAAGCTAACAACCTGATATGAATGCTGCGTTTTGGAGATGTGCCTGTTTGGCTTTCATAAGTGAGTAGGATGTGGTTCCATCACACCACTGGGTTAAAAAAAATTAGCCGTTTTACTAATGAAAATATGGATTCACAGTATCATTCGTAAGAGCTCAGGGGTTTGGGTGGACAGCACTTACTATTACAAGTAATTAACGACGTATAAAGCAATTTAATGTTTTTATCCTCACACAGACTATAAACTTCACGGGCAGGGCTCATGACTACTGATCTCACCTGCAGTGCCTGGCACAATGATAGGCTCATAGTGTGCACCAATATATCCCTGTTAAACAAGTGACTGGTTTATTCATCTAGCCTCATAATTTTTAAAATATGTTTTTATTGATTTGAGAGAGAGAGGAAGGGAGAGGGAGAGAAAGCAACATTGATTGGCTGCCTCCTGCATGCCTCCTATGGGGACCAAGCCGGGAATGTGCCCTGACTGGGAATCGGACTGGCAACCTCTCAGTGCAAGGGACCATGCTTAACCAACTGAGCCACACTGGCCAGGGCTAGCCTCATAATTTTTAAAACTTATTTTTATTTGTTGAGTCCTTTATTCAAATTAAATCTTTCCCCAAAATGCAGTGAATAAAATAGATAAAAGGAGTGCTGTTTTGCTTTGAGTAGGCTTGGGGACCTAGACTCCTGCTGGCCGACCCTTCTCTTTGTCCACCACTATGGTTCTTGAGGCACAAAGTAGAGCCACTAGGCTCCTCGGGAAATCCTTTGAAAATCACTGAACCAGTCTAACTGTTTGGTTTCCTTTCTATAATATTCATACCAACTGATCATCTAGCAGAGGCTTGAATGCCTCCACTGTTGGGGAACTCACTCTCCCTAAGGGTGCTCTTACTTTGGACTGCCCCCAGGTAAAAATTTTTATTATATTAAGCTAAAATCTTCTCTTTAGTCCCTAGGACTACCATCTGGGACTGAAAAGAAAAGTTCTAAATTTCCTTCTACATGAGTCTTTCAATTTCTAAAGGTCGCTATAATAGCCCTATTTTTTGCCCTCCTTTCCCTTTATTTTTTTCATATTGATTATATTTTGATTATATTAACAATAGAACAATATACTGTAGAAAGTAAAAGTATATTATATCAAGTATCATGTAATACAATAGTGACACACTTGCTTTTCTTAGGTATTTAAAATGTAATAACATAACATAATAATATAAAAATATAATATACATCCTATATAATAAAAACCTAATATGCTAAGTGTCTGGTCCTCCAGTCAATCAATCAAAGCATAATATGCTAATGATATGCCAAGGCCGCTCAACCACTCGCTATGACGTGCACTGACCACCAGGGGGCAGATGCTCCAACCGGTAGGTTAGTTTGCTGCTGGGGTCCAGCCAATCGGGACTGAGCAAGATGGGCCAGACACGCCCTGGTCCCTCCCTGGCTGGCCAACCTCCCCTGTTTCTCCCCGGTCACAATTGTGCACTGGTGGGGTCCCTCGCTTGCACCCTCTCACAATCCGGGACCCCTCGGGGGATGTCAGAGAGCCAGTTTCAGCCCAATCCCGCAGGCCAGGCTGAGAGACTCCACTGGTGCATGAACTCGTGCACTGGGCCTCTAGTAATAATATAAAAAAAATCCAATTCTTACTTGTTGATCCAAAGTGGTTGTATCAACTTCACTCAATAAACATAACTAATATATTGTCATAATGCATTCTGTTCTTTTAAAGAAGCAAACTTTACTGATAAAGCAAATAATTCCATTTGGCAATGACCCTTAGATCCATTACCTTTCTTCCCACTTCAACCAGGATTCTGGGTTTGTTGTGCATCCCTCAAATCTATTTTCATACTTCTACATGCATAAGTATGCCTCTATATGTCCAGGCATAAGTATACCTGTGCTGTCCAGTATATAGTCTCTAGCAATGTGGTTGTTTAAATTTAAATTAATTAAAATAAAATTTAAAAAATCAGTTCCTCCATTGCCCTAGCCATATTCCAAGTACTCAGTAGCCATCATTACAGAGCTCTGTTGGGTGCTTCAATTATTTTAATGTTGTTGTTTTTTATATTTGGCATTATATTGTTGACATGCACCCAACTGATATATAGAGAAGTCTGGTGTATTCCTTTAAACTGACATAGAATATTTTATTTTATGAATATACCACATCATTATGTTTTAAACCTATTTCTCCCCAATTGGATATTGAAGTTGTTTTTATTCTTCTATTTTAAATAATGCTTCAATGAACATCTTTCTCAAGAATAAGTATCTAAAAGTGAAAATGCTCTATCATAAGGTATGCATGTTTTCAGTATTTCTAGATGTTGCCAAAATATTCTCCAAAGTGGTTGTATCAACTTCACTCGTATGAATAGTATATTAAAAAATAAATTTTCCCATATCCTCACCAACACCTGACATTATTAGTTTTTGCCATTGGGTTAGGTAAAAATGGTATTTTATTGATATCTCATTGTTTTAATTTTTGATTACTGATGTGGTTTAAACATTGTCACATATTCACTGACTACTACTTTTTTTGTTTATTGCCTATTCACATATTTTGCCCACTTTTCTATGGAATTTTTGCCTTTTTCTTAATGATTTGCGGTAATTAATCATATTAAAACTTGCTTTTATTCTGTTATTCCACCCTCTTCCATACATATACATACATGTGTATATATATATATATGTATATGGATTTGTTATGTAAATATATCTATCTATATGGATAGACATCTATGTAGAGATATTCTGAATCATTTGAAAATAAGTTACAGATTTCACAACATAAATGTTTTAGCATAAAATTTTCAAGATTAAAGGATGCTACCACATCTCTTTAAGATTGAGGACTGCATTTGTTATCATGTATCCTAGGTCTCTTCAATCTGGAAGAATTCCATTCTTTTAAAAATTACAATGGCTCATTCAAACAATCCAGGCCAGGTTTCTTGTAGAATACACCACATTCTGGGTTTATCTGCCTTTTTCCTCATGGTTACTTGTTATAATATCCCCTACACTTTTTAAAATTTGTGCTTACATCTAGACCAGGACTTCTTAGAAACCCTGGCATTATTGACATTTGGGACCAGATAATTAATTGATGTGGAGAGGCTGTCCTGTGGGTTTTTAAATGTTTAGCAGCATCCCCAGCCTCTACTCATTAGATGCAGTAACAACCCTCTCCACGCCCCTTCCCTGCCTGCCCTTCTCTCCCAATACCACAAACAAAAATGTCTCCAGGCATTGTCAAAGTGCTCAAGGGGTTAAGGAGATGGGGAGCAGGGTGGGGATCCACTCCCTGGTTGGGAACCACAGGCTAGAAGTTTGATGAAAATTAAGTTAAACAATTTTGGCAAGAATAGTTCTTAGATGATGTTTATTCCTAATTGCATAACACCAGTAAACACCAATAATATCAGATTGTCCCATTATTAGCAATTCTAGCTTTGGTCACTTGTTTAAGCAGTGATTTTTTTTTTTTAAGGTACATTTTCTATTTTATAAGAAAGTTATGGCCTGACACTTTGAAACCATGTGAAGATCCTGTGCCCATACAATCTTTCACCCAGTGGTTTTCCCATTCTCTGATGAACTTTGCCCGAATTATTTGTGGTTGATTTGAAAAATAGTGGTTTTCTAATTCTATTATTTGTTCTTCATTTAATCTCTAGTATTTCTCTGAAAGAAAATTTTTCATTCTCCCTCCTTTATTTTTAGTGGTACTCTGAACTCATGCATTTTCTTTATCCAATTAATTATTGTATTCTTTGTGATGCTCATATTGCCCCAACTTTCTCCAGTGGAAGTCCTCAACCCGTTCTTTAAAACATATCCTAAAACAAGAGAATTAATTGTTTTGTGGAACTTTTAATTAAATTGTAAGCATCAAACAATGGTAACTTCTTACTGTATTACACTGCACATGTGAACAAAAGTGCAAAGGCTTCACATTTAACCAGTAAAGAATTCTGATGACTAGAACAACCTACCATTTTCATAATTAACAAGTTAATTAACATTAGGATTCAGCAACCAATAAAAATTAGCAATTTAATTTTGAGTCATCTATTTACTTTAGAATTATAATCTTTTCCTGATTCCTATACATTGAAATACACTTTGCAGTATACACAGTATATGGCCTTGTGTATACATTGCATACTATTGCAAATTGTAGGGAATAGGATAGGATGACTTCTGTTCATAAAAGTGCTTGGGAACGTATTACAATAGCATTAAAGCTCAAGAAAGCATCGCGATTTTATTTTATTTTTTATTTATTTATTTATTTAAGGATCTGAAATCTTTTTTTTTTTCTTAAATATATTTTATTGATTTTTTACAGAGAGGAAGGGAGAGAGATAGAGAGTTAGAAACATCGATGAGAGAGAAACATCGATCAGCTGCCTCCTGCACATCTCCTACTGGGGATGTGCCTGCAACCCAGGTACATGCCCTTGACCAGAATCGAACCTGGGACCTTTCAGTCCGCAGGCCGAGGCTCTATCCACTGAGCCAAACCGGTTTCGGCAGCATCGCGATTTTAGAACTATGACTTTTGGGGAGCCGGAACGGCATAGCCGAGAAAAATGTCTATTAAGGATTCAGCTCCACCCGGGGTAATTACCCCTTTCCTTCTCAACAGTCGATTTCCTCCCCAGTCCCAGGAGCGGCTCTGACCAGATCGGCAGTCCGCTCTACATCTGTTGATGGTGATGATGGCTTCCAAGGAAACCGCCGCGGTGATGGGATTTAGGTTCTTAACAGTCCTCACCCCGCGACTTCGCAGCCGAGGCCAGCGCCACTTCAATCTTTTTCCCGGGTCCCGCAGAGGTGACTGCGGAGGGTGGGGCAAATTTTTAGGGTGCGGGGAGCAGCGTGCCTCCTGATTGGCTGGCGTGGGCCTCGGACGCCCAATCACATTAGCGTGTCTACCACGCCGCAACGTGCCGCCGCCACGCATGCCCATTCCGGGACCAGCGCTTGCGCCTCAGCGTCCTGAGAGCTGAGGGCACCGGCTCAGGGCGGCGGGAGCCGCGTCTGGGTGTGCCCCTGTCAACGTCACCGGGCAGCGCTGGAACCCGGTCAGGCCCGGTGGGAGAGCGACAAGAAAATCGAGCACTGACCCAACTGTCTGACTTTCCCACGTCCCTTAAGCGCAGGTCTCCTTGGGTCGGCCACGCACTTTCACTGTGGAATCCGACCTGGACAATCCCGTTTCCCCGAGGGGACTGGAAAAAGACCCGCTGCATTCTTTCTGGGCGTCCAGGCAGACAGCAAAGCGGGGCGAATGGGACGGGTCTTTAGAAGAAAGTAAACTTTTTTTCCCCCAGGCAGCGTGGGCTTAGGAACCCCTTCCCTTGGAGTCTTCCTGCCTGAAACACGGCCTTAGAAAAGCCGCCCTGGACATGATCCCTCGCAGCCGACCCGTCCGTCTCGGCGCTGGCGTGTCCTGCTCGCCCGGAGCTGACCATCGGTCGGCGCTGGCCACGCGGAGGTTACTTTCTGCTCCCGAACTAGTTTCCAGGGCGTGCAACTCAGGAAAGTAACCCACACCGAAACCAGCCAGCCTCCGGGGAGGCAGAGTCTCGTGGTCCTTGCTACCAACTGGCCTCCCGCCTCCAGCCCCAGCCGGTCCCTGGCTGATCGCCGCCCCGGCGCGCAGACACCGGCCCCACGCGGCCGCTCGGAAAACGCGGCGGGCGGAACCCGCACGCGGAAGCGCCGGCCGCACTGAGCATGCCCAGTTGCAGGGCCGACCAGAGGAGTTTTTTTCTTTCTTTCTTTTTCTTTTCTTTCTTTTTTCTTTTCTTTTTTGTTTTTAGTCTTAAGTAGGAGGCCGTGCCCCCGCCCCCACCGCAGCCCCCCAGCAGCCCAGGCCTGGGCAGCTACCATGGCCGAGGTCCCCGGCGCGGCGTTGTCCCAGGCGGGCTGGTAAGTGGTGAGTCCCGCCGGCCGCGGGCGCGGACCGGGGCCCCGGGCGGGCTGGGGCTGGGGGCGGTGGGGTGCGTGGAGGGGTAGGCGGAGGCCGCCGCCCGCCCCCGGCCTCTCCCCGGGGCCGCCGGCCGGCCGGCCCCGCCCCCGGCGCCACGCGGAGCCGACCGAGTCCCCCAGCTCCGCTCGGGGCGGCGGCGCGGCCTGGGCCCCGAGCGGCGGGCGGCGGGCCGGGGGGCCGCGGGGGCGCGGGCAGGGCGGCCGGGCCTGCGCCGGCCGCGGGGAGCACCTGCAGCGCCTCGCGCCTCTCCGGGGTCGGGAGCGAGGGCGGCGGCGGAGGTCCGCGGCGGGAGCGGCGGGCCCGCAGGAAGTTGAGGGCGGACGGAGCACAGCCCCTTCTTTCCCCTTATTTCTGAGTGCGGCGCCGACGGGCGTGCGGCGACCCCCCTCACACACGCAACTTCTGAAGCTAAAAATGACCGCCTTGTCCACGCCTGTGGGCGCCCCGTAGAACTTTTCTGGAAGGGATGGAGGTGTTCTGGCATTGAAAGACGTTTCATGCCAAGGTTTTTGGGATCCGAAACCAATAACGTGTGTTACAGGAAAGTAAGCAGTGTCTGGAGCTGCGGCCATCACAGTTGTAAACATAGAGTTTGATTCAGTCATACTTCTCCAGGCCTGCGCAGGCACCGTCTGAGATGAGGGGTGGGTGGGGAGGAGGATGCAAGAGACTGGCCCCCGCTCTCTGAAGTTCACCATCTTCATGAAAAGTGATTAGAGAGGGAGGCATGGAAAGGGACCAGCACAAACCCGGAAAATAGTGGTTAATTGTGTCCAGGGGCAGGCAGCTCTACAATGGAATTGGAGGGGAAGGAGAGTTAATTTCCTAGAGAACTGGACTTTGAAAGATGGCGAGGAAGCGGCTTGTTGGGCACAGAGACGCTGGAGACGAGGCACAGGAGGAAGGAAGTGCTCGTGGGCTTGCAGATCCCTGTGCCTCCGTGGGAGTGGGGGATGTCCAGGGAGGGTTAAGGCCAGAAAGTTGGGGGCCAGGTCATGGAGGCTACAGGTGAGTAAAAGATGTGGATTTGTTACTGTGAATAAAGTTTTTGACTTAGAGTAACGTAACAGCCGTGTTTTGAAGAAGTTGCTCCTGGCTCTACAGCCACCCCATTTCCCAGGTGGAGACTGAGGCCAGAGCTGTGAGGCAGCTTTCCAAAAATGACACAGCTAGAAAGTGGTGGAGGTGAATGGTGATTGCAGAAGGGCCAGTTCCACATATGGTGCACTTAATTGTTATGTGTTACTGTGCCTACAGTTTTTGTGTAGAGCACATCATTAGCATAACAAACTCACCTCATTTAGTTTTATTTTTGTTCTTTTAAGTGGAATCTCTTCTTCACTTTCTTTAACTGACAAGGTTGTCTTGGATAATCTTGGATCATTCTTCCATTTGAGTTCCCCATTTTTCCTTAGATTGAGCCTTAATTCTTCAAACTAGTTTTATGATTTAATTACAAACTTAGTTGTTTACTGCTTTCCAGCACGACCCCACCTCCTTTAGAGATGTTAGTTTCATTATTTTGGTTCCACACACATACTAAATTGTTCTTCTTTGGTCTTCTTAAGAGTGGGGAACTACATCTTATTTTTCTGTGTATCTGTAGTGCCAGAGAGCACATTACATTTTAGGTCCTCAATAAAGTCTGATACAATTGACCTTGGAATGCCCCTGCCAATCAGAATTTCCTAACCAAGTTCTCTAACCAAGCCTAGGCAGAGTTCCGCTATTTGTTACTTTGTTGTAAATCCCCAGCAATGTTGTAGTGTAGCATGTGCCACTTTGTATTACAAATTATCTGTTTACAGGTGTTACTTCCGCCAAACTTGCTTTTATGACTTTGACTCATAAAAAGGAGTAATGTGTGGTCTGATAAAATTACTTATCTTTCTAGGAGTTGGGAGTATCATGTAATTTCTGATAGGTCTTTTTAAAAAAATTATTGATGAGAGAGAGGGAGAAAGAGAAAGAAACAGAAACATTGATTTGTTGTTTCACTTTTTTTAAGCATTCATTGGTTGATTCTTGTATGTACCTTGACCATGGATTGAACCTGCAACCTTGGCTTATGTGAATGACACTAATTGAGCTTCCAGGCGAGGGCCTTTGATGGGTCTTGAACAGACCAAACTTGTTCCAAAGAAGATGAGGACCTCCTAGGCTTTCAGTGTCCTGTATTGTAGTAGAAGTGATATTTAGGTAGAGACTTACTATGGTAAAATTCAGCATCTCAAAGGTTTAGGCAGAGAAGAGCACTAGAAGGAGGATGTCTGACTGTAGAGCAGTTTTGACCAACTGATTTCCAGTTCTGACATGCTGAGTTTCATCCAACTCTTGGCATGCTGTTATTGTCACTGACAAAACCATTTTTCTTTGTACTCAGCCTATTCATTTAATTACTTGTAGGACCTGAAAAGAAATAGATGCTAAAACACCTAAACTATAATTAAATTTGTTCTATCATTTTCACTTAAAATAGTAGTTTAGGGAACTATTTAGCCCTGAAAAGCTTGTTAATAAATATGTCATCTTCTGGGATTACAGATGATCTATATAGACCAATTTATTATTCTAATTTGTTAATACATTTTTTCCCCTTAAGTATTTATTCTTCATTAGAGCCCCAAGAGTTTTGCTTTTCGTTTGTTTGTTTTGTTTTGTTTTTGTGGAGGGGCCAGAGTTAGAGGTGAAAGGGAGGGTGAACACCTCTTGTCCCGTTTGAACTTCACCTTCTCTTTTGGTTGGTCTCTGATTACTGGTGCTACCATCATATTGATATCCTCTGGCCCAAGTGTATACCAAACTTCATTCTGTTTGTTTCACCTTTGAACAACTAAGAAAGGCTACAGCTTATAGAAGTCTTTATCAGAATTTAGTACTAGAGGAGAAAATAAGAAGCACAATGGCAGTATGGATTATAGAGTGGTTATTGTTCTCTTTCTTGAGGGTCCTGCCCTGTTATTCTTCATGCTGCCTTGAGATAGCTACTCTAAGGAAGTGGAACTCCTTCCAGACTTTTCACTGGAATTTCTTATTCCTGGCTTTTGACTTATACACAGATGGAGAGCTTCTTTTTATATCCCATCACTTCCCAAACACATTAATGATCAAGACCAAAAAAGTCAGATTCCTGTTCTGCAATCCAGCCCAATGCCTTTCTTGTTTGTTTGGTTTCAGTTTTCCGAGAGACACACCTGTTCACAGGAGATGGCTAGTAAATGAAATCAATGTTCAAGTAAGAAAGAGTCTTTAATATAACTACCATACCTTTACATAATACACTATTGCTAACCTGTCATACAGTAGGAGTTTATGCAAAGGATATTTCAGTATAACTCTTAGGTATACTCATAGTTATAAAGAATATTGATAGTTCTTTGTAGGGCTGTATATTAAGTACAGGATTTTAAAAATTACCTGGAATTATAAAATACTTTATCATTACCACTTTGATATAAATGTACCCTTGGAACACTGTTTTGGAAGGGATCAGAACCATTAAAATATTTTTTGGGTGAAACAGAATAATAGATCATGCTGAAGAACACTAGAAGAAACCAATCGCTTTATACTTCGTTTTCAGGGGAGCTTATTGGCAACATCCTTCTATTTTGAAATATTTCTTGTTTCTTTAATGGGCATTTGTAACTATCTCTTTGGTTTTTATTATTTGTGAAATTATAATGTTCAAGAGCAATAAGTCTTCTTGACCTTCTGTCTGAAAATGTGTTTATATATATTGCCTGGTTGCTTTTGTAGATATTGTAAACTGCTAAAAATGACTGGATATTCTATTAAACTGTGCAAGTTTTCAGATTTGAAGGTGCTGTTTGCAGTGATTTTTTGGTGAATAACCTATAAATCTAGTTTCAACTGCCTGTACACTTCACTGCTTCCAGCATAAAAGGGGTATAAAAAGAAACTTGCTACCTCAGCAAGTTGAAAATAATTTTCTCCTCTCACACAGTAGCATTTGCTAAATCAAGTAAAAATTGCATAGTAACATTTCAAGAATCATAAAAATACAATTATATTATTTTTTTGGCTTATGTTTTCTCTTTTTGACAATAGAATATGGGTATTTTTTACTTATCATGTTATAGTTAAGTTCCATCTCTCTAGAAATTCTGACTTTTTGAAAGGCGTAGGATTTGGAAGTTGCTGAAGAACGCTTTACCTCCAAATAATTTTTAGAAGAAGCATATTGCATTCCCAGCAATACAGACATTTTTATGTGAAATTGAGAAACATTTGTGAAATCATAGAATGACAAAAAACAAAAAACAGAATGTGGCAATGTGGTGGGGGTAAAATGCATTGTGATCATGTAAAGTATTGACAAGGCTGTCAAATCAAAGATAATGGTGGCAGAAAAGAAGCACATTGGTAATGTAGAGAATCAGGAAAGGACCACCTTGTTCTAAAGGGCTGAACAGAGCCTCTCTGTACCTTAGTAGTGTAACCCTGTAACATCTGCTCAGTGGGTCTGAGTCTGCACATGTGAGTACTTCTCACACATATTACAGTTGTACAGCCTTTAAAGTAGAGATAAATAGCTATCTTTCATCCCTCATCTTGTTGGGTACATCATATCTACCAAAGAAGACATCTTGTGGTGACAGGTGATTTCTTTAACAGAGTGTTACTGAAAATATAATAATCTGCAATAATAATCAGTTATAATGCAGTATTGTCTGTACTGAAATACACATAGTAAATACATACTCCTCTTATGCACAAAGCACTGTGGTTTTTGTTAGGATGGTATACAAAATAGGCAGAATTTAAGCATGTTATACACTGATATCACTGATATTTTATTTGCGGGGTGTTGTTGAAAGTAGTTAACTCACTCTTGGGAAGTCTATAAGGTTTTCCAGAACTAATGATGTATGAGCAGAGTATGTTGAATATACCATCTGATAATATAGTATCTTGTCTTTGTCTAGGGAAAACACACGGCAGATTCATTGGTGTACTTATCCAACAAGTAATTATTGAACATCTTGTTGTGGCGGGTTATTTCTTTAGTACAATAGGATGTAGTCTTATGGGGGAAATAGGAGAAGGGACATTGTTTTTTAAGAATTTATAAAAAGGGAAATTTGATGTCTTCATGGTGGTCAGAGAATGTTCCCTGAGATGTGGAAGATGAGTGGAAATTAACCTAAGTAAGGGGAAAGCCAAGGCCATGCAAAGGTGTGTCCAAGATCTGAAGGGCCAGAATGGAAGGAGGGCAGGACAGAAAGGGATTATAATGAGATGGGGCTGGGAGATTCTCAGGAGCTAGATCATGTAGCTCAAGCACCAGAGACCATGATAAGTTTTGTTTTTGTTATGGAGGCAATGTAGAAGTTAGTTGAAAATTTTATCGGAATGGGAGGGTTGAAGTAGAGATGACATCATAGTTAAGTTTTGAGATATCCTTGTATTGAAGAAAATGGATTGGAGGTGGACAGTAGATGGATGGAGTGGATGATGGTTGCGATGGAGAGCAGTAGGTTGAGTTGAGATATTTAGAAGGTAAAACGGACAGAACTTTTTGCTGGATAGGATGTGGAAATGAGAGAAAAGGAAGTGTCAAGGGATTGATTTCTAGGTTTTTGGCATATATATATATATATATATATATATATATATATATATATATATGAATGAATTGGTTAGATAGCCACATTTTTGAGGGAGGGATCATGAATTGAAGTTGGGCATTATTTGAGTATGAGGTGCCTTTGAGTCATCTAAAATAAGATGCCAGTTAGGCATTGGGAAATACTAATCTTACACTCAGAAGAGAAGCCTGGAGACATGAATTCAGAGTCATTTGAGTATAGCTGGTGATTGAAGCAGTGCATGGATGAGGTCAGTTAAGGCTGTTCTGTCCAGTTTGGTAGACATTAGTCACATGTGGCTACTGAACACTTGAAGTGTGTCTAGTCCAAATTTAGATGTGCCATAAATATAAAATACATACTGAGT